GCATCCTCGTGAGTCGGGGTCCAATGAAAAGGTAAACGTTCGCGAGTCAGAGGGGTGAGCTGGGAAGAAAACTGCGCGTAGTTTTTAAGAAAATGACCATAGTAGTTGGTCAACCCAAGGAAACTACGCAGCGCAGGAAGAGAGGTAGGAGTGGGCGAGTCGACAATGGCCTGAATCTTCGAGTCGTCCATGTGGAGTCCGTGCTCGAAGACCTGATGCCCGAGGAAGTCGACTTTGGGTTGAGCGAAGCTGCATTTGGAAAGCTTCGCATAGAACCTGTGGTCGCGTAGTCGCTGTAGGACAGTGCGAAGGTGGGTCAGGTGATCCTCTAGGGTACGACTGTAGATCAGGATGTCGGCAATGTAGACTAAAACATAGTCCTCAAGAAGGTCTTGGAACATCGTGTTCATAGCCGTCTGGAAAGTGGCGAGGGCATTACGGAGACCGAAAGGCATAACGGTAAACTCGTAGTGCCCGAAACAAGAACGAAAAGCGATCTTGGGCTGGTCCTCCTCGGCTACGCGGATCTGGTGATATCCGCTACGAAGAACGATCTTCGTGAAGAAATGGTGGTCGGAGAGGCGGTCAAACAGGTCATCCGCGCGAGGCATGGGATAGCTATTTTTGACCGTGTAGTGGTTCAGACCACGGTAGTCAACACAAAGACGAAGGGTGTCGTCCTTCTTGCGATCGAAGAGGACCAGGGCACTCCATGGGGAAGTACTCGGTTTAATGAAGCCCTTGCGAAGCAGCTCCTCAAGTTGGCGCTTGAGTTCCTAGGCTTCGGGAACCGAAAGGCGATAAGGGGCACAATTCTGAATGTGATAGTTGGGCTCGAGCTGGATGTGGTGCTCGATACCACGCATGGGAGGAATGCTGTTGTAGGAGACGGATGGTGGGAAAACATCGTGATACTCACGAAGGAGGGCACCAACGCTAGGCGGCAAGGAAGAAAGAAGGGTGTCAAATTCCTTTGCAGCGGCAGCGTCTGAAGCAGAGGTGGCGGGGGTCTGTAGAGGGGTAGGGACTGAGGGTGTATCAATGGTAAGGGAAGCGAGAAACTGCAGCGGGCTAGCAGGGGTAGAGGAGGTTAAGGAAGTTGAGGAATCAGGAGGGTCGGGGGGCTCGGGAGGTGGTGGGTCGAGCTCGACCAACTCAACGTCCTGATGCATGGAGTTGCAGGTGAGGAGATCCGTGATGTCGACAACATAAAGTTCTACATCAGGCTCACAGGAGGTGGTGGAACTGGGTAGGTGTACAGATGGTGACATTGACAGGGGGGGGAAGTGTAGGATCCGATTTGGCCAACAACGGAATACGGTATTGTTTCCCGTCCTTGGCATCGAGGACGAGATCGTTGTGGGTCCAATCGGGGCCGGCATGAGCAAACTGATGAGAATAGGCAGTGCCAAGAACGAGATCATATAGGGTTTCCATGACATCGAAGGTCCACTTGTCATGGAACCGAGGGGCCTTGCGAAGGTTGTGGGGCATCCGCAGGGGGAAGGAGAATGGAAGATCAGGCACCACCGAATCAACGAAGGATTTGGCTCGATCGTCGCCAAGCGTGACAGTGACAGTGGAAGGGTAGGCGGATGTATAGAGAGATGCCTCCTTAACTACGCGAGGATGAATGAAGTTGCTAGTAAAGCCAGAGTCCCATAGTGCACGATACACTCTAGTAGGTCCCGAGGCGCACTGGAATAATCGGTAAGGTGCGATCGGGATTGTGTAGGCGCTGAGACATCGCGGACAGGGTGCGCTCTTTAAGGCGGAGACGTTCCTGGTGGACCTTAACACACACAAGGTCCAGGAAGTTAATGATATCCTCGGCTGCAATAAGGGAAGCACTGCAGCGGGCCGTGCGAAGAGCACGCCTGGTAGGAGGACGTGGAGGAGGGGGGTCACGAGGGACGCTAGGCAAGGAAGGAGAAGGCATACCAGTGTCGGTAGGGTCACCCACAGATGAGAGTCGGTTAACCGACCCCCCATTTTTCACCTCAATTTATAAGAAACCCATAAGGCCATTTCAAGCAAACTCCACAACAATGTATAGAGTGCACTTCTTACTAACACATTATAAAAAAGAGAAACCAAAAAAAAAAAAAAAAAAACACATAAAACATCACCTCAAAAGTACATTTTCAGACAATTTTGCCAAAAAAAAATTCATCGAAATTTCAGGATTTTCAGGATGATCAACAGCACAAATTCTGATAACCCTAACGACACCAAATTTGACACACAGCAAGCTTGTCCAAAAACAAAACAGGCAAAAAAAAAATTCCAAAAAAACACAAAATTTGACACCGAAACCCTAATTTCAAGATCATGCATGGTTACTCGGGGCCGAAAAGTGGGGGTCCCTGTTCCCGTTAACCGCTTGTGCCACAGATAAGGTCGTACCAGAGTCATCGGGAAGAGTAGCAAGCGGTGCAAAGGTAGAGTTGTGAACGGGTATGCCTGCTACCGTAGGAGAGTGAGGGGAATGGGACATCGCAGCTAGGTGGGTGCTGCGCTGGAGGTCGAGACAGGGGGAACAGCCTGAGGGCGAGCCTGCTGTGAAGTGACTCTGGAGGGCGTCTGCGTACAAGCAAGTGGAGGAGGTATGGCCGGCGAGGCGGCAGCGGGTGCAGATGCCTCGTGCGCGAAGGTCCTCTCTCTCAGCGATGGTCAAGCGGCTGCGAGGGAACACAAAGCCCGTTGGGAGGGGTAGTTGAGGGACCGTAGAGCGAGTCTTGGAGGATGAGGGCTGACGTCGAAGGAGGGCGGAAAAGGCCCGGACAAGACGGTCGTCATGGGAAGAGGCGTCGTCCTCCGGGGGGGACTGAGGGTCGGGTCCCTGATCTGGGTCACTCGCAAAATCATCTGAGGCAGTGCCATCGTCAATGCTCGACGGATCACGAAGCAATGCATGCAAGCGACGAGAGAGGAATCGTCCAGAGCCTCTACGAGGGCCACGACGGTATGTGGAGGACCGTCGAGGTTGGGAGGGGCGAGAAGCTGCAGTAGTAGCAGAGTGGGCAGCAGCGGGCTGAGGCGAGGGGCCAACTAGTGGGGCATAAGTGAGATGAATGGCCTGAGCTATGTTGAAGGCCTCTGGTAAGGTGGAGATGGAATATGCCATCATCTGCAACTGGAGTGACTGAGGTAGACCTGCGCGAAATCGTTGGATCATGGTGTCCTCGAGAATGGCTGTGATTGGAATCTGAGCGCGTACACGGTGAAATGCCGTGATGTATGACTCTTAAGGCATTGTTGCCACCAAGCCATCTGATCTCAGCCACACGAGTAATCGGGTCGCGGGTGGGTGCAGGGCGAGAAAAGTACTGCTGAAGGAAGTCATGAAAGGGATAAGACATGCCCTCATGTACGCCGCGCTGTGAGCGAAGGGTGAGGAAGTCGCGCCAGGTGGAGGCTGCACGACCTCTAAAGCGAGAGGACATCTCAACGGGCCACAGTTCCATGGCGACACCATGGTAGCGAAGCTGCTCCTCAGCAGTAGTGATCCATCCTTGGAGCTCGGAGGCCTTGCCGTCAAATTGTGGGAGGTGGTCCCGTCGAAACTGTGGAACATACGTCGGGGGCCGGTAATGGGTAGGGAGAGGAAGGGCCGATTGTGACAAGAGGACAAAAGAAGTAGTGGCACCAGCAGGACCACTAGAAAGAGCGAGGAGCCGGGGCAAAGGTCCCTGGCACATCGTGGTGGCTGGTGATGGGAACGTGAAATGCATCGCATCGGCCTGTGTCTGATGCTGTCGATAGATGAAAGGGGCAACACGCTGTGCCGCGAGGTGGGGAGGCAGGGGTTGACCTCCTTGGAGTTGGCGGATGTAATAATGGGCCAGGGTGAGCTGGCGTTGGAGCTCGGCATTCTGTGTCCTGGGTGTAAGGGGGGGTGGTGGGGGGGGCGAAGGAGCGAGGGGTGATGAGGGAGGTGCCGTGGAAACTAACGTCGAGGTGGCGGGACAAGATGCCATGGGTCCTGAGGAGGGAGGTGCAGGGCCAAAAACCTGAGAGGCAGAGATGGCTGCAGAGGAAGGGTGGGGCTGGGGTGAGGACATGCAGCCCGTGGAAGAGACAAGCGTGTAGATGACGCCAGCCGAAGAAGGAGAGGAGGTTGGCATAGATGCAGACGAGGGGGTTGGGGGGGGAGATGCACTGGTACGGAGCTCCAACTGTGACACGCGGGCCGACAAGGATGAAAAGTCGATATGGAGGGCCGTGATTTTGGCCTCGAGTGTGGCCTGCATGTGGTGGAGGAGGTCCAATATGGGATCCGACTGGGAAGTTGGGCCCCGAACTGGTTGCGATAGGGGTGGCCATTGAGTCGAATGTAGGCTCGTGAGCTAGGAACGCAAGCCCTTCGCTGGATGAGAAGCCATGACTGCTTCTGATCTGCCAAAGCATAACGGACCTCGTTACCCTCAGCTTGTCGGATCTGGCACCATTGACCTGCGTCACAGTCATGGCTCCCTTCAGCAGGCATCTCACCCAGGTACGGAAGATTCCTCCTATCCCCTTTTGTGCCATCCCCTGTAGGAGAAACTCCCATCTGACTCGGTCATATGCCTTTTTGAGGTTAATAGAGACAAATGCTTTGTCACAGCCTGAGCATCGATCTTCTTCCAAAATTTGTTGCACCAGTATCATGTTCGACAGGATTTGCCGTCCCGGCACAAAACCGGTCTGAGCGCAATGTCTGCTACATGGCAGCACGCCCTTCAGGCGGGTCGCTGGTGTTTGTTGTTTGGGGGGGGCGGGGTACCCAAATTATCGCTGTGTGCTGTATTGGGTGCACGCACATGGTGCGCCAGACGTGCGCGGAGGCGCTCACCTCGATGCACTGCAAGCATGGATCCAACATAACATCACAACCAGACAAAGGGAAGACTCCACAACTTCCACCAATAGCAAAACTGCTTTTGTAATGAAAAATGGAGATGTTCATCCATACTGAACACCTCAGTGCACAGAAATGTGAAGGGAGAGGATCTCACCTCTGTTTCGTCACCGAGTCAGATATGCTCTGGAAAAGATCATACAGCCTGTCATATCGTGCCTCACCACATTCTTTGTGGAAGTCGAATGCAACATATCTGCAACCAGCAAGGCAGTGACACACGCAGCAACAACAATTACAATCCCTTCCAGAAGAACAAACACGTTCGTTTCTCTGAAATCACCATCTTATCAATGGCCGGACTACATATTTTAACAACTGCACTGTGCGTGACGGGGACGCGGCCCTCAGATTTATACAACAGTATATGAAGTTTCCGTCTTGAATGCTTGTCCCCAGGATAATGCACAGCTGATGTGCTGATCATCAATGGCATGTCATTCTAATATCTTCACAACTTCAGGATTTCAGGTTAAAGTACAACTTTCAATCACGATCACAGAACTCCCCAGAGTCTCTAACCATTTGTTCAACGGGGGTCTTTTCATGCACTCTTTCAAAAACAGCCATATGTTATATACCCAATTGAACTTCAATCCACAACGAATTCACACGTTCCCATACACGCATGCAATTTCAGAGTAGACTCGAAGGAGGCAAATCCACACAAAACCAGAGAGGAGATATGCACAGCGGAAGCTCAAAATACACAGAGAATTGAAAAACGAATTTCAATTCTGCAATCCCTCGTCCTCCTCCAATCAATCCAGAATACTTGTTCCAAGAATCCCAACCACGTTATCAACACCCATGGACCAATTATTTACAAGATTTCATCGAATACTTTGGGAGTCTTCTTCTTCCTCCCTCTTCCTCAAGCTCTAGCTATGGTGCCTGCGGGCACCCAACCTATCAAGCCTGCCAATCGCCACACACCCTCCTAAATCCAACACCCCTCTGCACCACTCAAGAAGCCCAGTGCAGATGAAGTGTCCAGTCAGAAAATCGATGAAGATGAAGATCTGCCACTTCGAAGCAGGCATAGAGAAGCTGCTTCGATGGCAGCTGTCAAAACCCCAATAGGACAGCTATGGAGGAAGCACCACGCAGAGCAGGGCCTGATGTCCCTGGGCCAATTCCGCACCAGCCAGGTAAGCCCAGTTATGGTCGTCAACTTCCCTTCAACGAGGAAGACAAACGGGCACTTTGAATTAGCGCAGCTCCAGCCGCGACCTCCAGCAGCACTTCATGAAAAAAAATGATGAAGCAGAACCCGAAATTCCTCGGCCCCTGCCTACTTCTACCCGACTTCCTTAGACTTACAACACAGTAACCACCAACAGACCTATCTGACCGTCCAAACAGAAAACATCTACGGCCCAACAGTCAAGATCTACCTACATGCATCTAGATGGAATCCTAAACTAAGGGAACCCAAGGCTAGGACACACAAAGAAATACCTACGGGCCTACCAGTTTCCAGAAGGGCAGAAAAGGACAAAACAACAAGGCTGAGTGGCCTAAGACTACGAAGTAGAGACTACTAGCGACAGGTTCAAGGTTCAAGCCCAAAACAGGGAACCAACAAACACAGTTAGTGTACACACAGACAAACACACACACACACAATACCAGTCACGGGATCGAATCCCGGAAGCACAAAACAGGCAACAACAAAATTAGTGTACAGCCCGCATCTCCCTGCAATTCATTGCACATATCTCACATGCGCATGAATCAGCCATATGCCCTCTCCTTCACCTCCGAACCCAGCCCCCTTCACAAGCCTCAAGTCACCTAATGCTTCACAGTTCATAACTTTGAAATTTCACTGCTCCGCCATTCCAGCACTACAGGCTGCACACCTTCCGTGAGGACAACAAAAATTTATCAGGGAATTGCTAGAATTCATGGTTTGATCATGCTCGCAAAAGTTTCACACGTTATTGACACACAAGTAGACAATGCTGGTGGATGCAACCTCACCGACACCAAGTCCTGGACCAAGAGGCTAGACACCCTCAGCCAACCTATGTAGGAGACTGGAGCACACTCAAAGGAGGAGAAAAATCGGGTAACAACAACGTTTCCTGGGCTGGCATCAAATATTTGCACAAATATGATCCCAGTAATACAAGTCCATTCCCGAGACAGAAGGAAACCATCCTTGCCCTTTGCAAATACACATCAAAAGAACAACACCAGACCCAGCAGCAGGGCTAAACACCTGATTTCATCATTCGCCAGACTTTGCACCCCAGCCGAATACGCAGCTCCCAGCAAGCTCTCACCACCACTCTGCATCAGATGCAATCGAAACAAGTTTAGGTCAGCTTCGTCTACATCACAGACTGCTATTCGAAATGGGCTCAATGAAACCAACAGCAAGGATCTCAGAGTGACCAGTCTGCAATCTGTCCACAAAACAAACAATAGATGGAGCTGGAAAAGATCGTTTCCAAAACGTCACAGATACAGCACTTCTTGGACGCTGTGGCCCTACCAAACTTCCATCCTAAAGAATAGTCCTACCACCAGCAAAACACCAAGACAAAATCCAAGCTCTTACAAGTGTCACAGACTTGGCAGGACTAGGAAGCGCAGTGTAGACCATACATCATGTAGGCCAGGCATGAGCTCGACACGTGTTGCACGTAGACTGTGCACTCCCAAACTAAAGTGAGTTCCGACATGTCTCTGATGCACACAATCAATTTTCACTACTACGACGAATCATGCTCGATGACTTCAATGCTCCATGCATGTAAACACTCCAGAATGAGAATGTGGCACTACCTATCCTTTAACAAAGCCATTAAAACTGGAACAAGACACAGAAGATTTGCATGGGCCCTGCACAAGGATGGCACGGATAAATCAAGAAATGGGCCAACCAAATTTCTTGGAGACAAAAAGAATGCGGCAGTACCAATATCTCCTGGATGAAGCTGTGAACTAAAAGCAGTTGCGCAACCTCTCATGAGCATTGTTTTTGGATGTCAGTACCAATCATACATGCGGCGCATCGCGATGCGCTGCACTACGCCCGTGCGCCGCACGGCGCATCCCGCATGACGCGCGCGCACCTCCAAAAATGGGGGTCAAAAAAAAAAATAAAAAAAATTGTGAGGGGCGGTAGTAGACCCGGCCCCCTGCTCGCGTAAAATAAGAAACGGGCAGCCAGATTTTTTTTGGAGGCCGCGCGTTGGCCCGCAAGCTTTTAGTAATCTGTAGTTCGGGTAACACTCTGTGTATGGTAGGGTTATTGCAGTCTGTATGGTAGGGTTCTTGTAGGCCAGATTCAGTCATGATGGGGGTCGCGATTTCTCAAAACGTTCTCTTCTTATTACTTCTGAAGTACAACACGACGGAACTGACAGCTGTTTTTCCTGGAATGGAAAAAAATCAAGAATTTCTTTGCATGCGTGTCGCCCGGCACGTCCAACCTGTCAGAGAACCTCAACGGTAATTGCAGTCTGTATGGTAGGGTTCTTGCAGGCCAGATTCAGTCATGATGAGGGTCTCGATCTCTCAAAACGTTCTCTTCGTATTACTTCTGAAGTAGAAAACGACGGAACTGGCAACCATTTTTCCTGGAATTTTTTTTTTTAATAAAAAGAGAAAAGTAAAGGAAGAACATCAGAATGGGCCTCGCCACACCACTCTCGAAATGTGAAAAAGACAAAAATGTGGCGGGGGCATCTGGTCGTGTTCGAGCGGGAAGTTCATCCCCATTTTGCAAATTTCGAGAGTGGTGTGGCGATGCCCAATTTCTTTGCATGAGTGAAGCCCGGCGCGTCCAACCTGTCAGAACCTCAACGGTAATGTTTACCAACCAGCTCGCTGCACTACTCTCGACATGCACAAGAAGACATATATGGAAATGTATCTTTCCATGTTCAAGCGGAGGATTCAGTCTCATTTGTTCAGAGATTCTCCGAAAAAAAAAAAAAGAAGCCTCCAGAGATACGTTACGTGCTTACCTGATTCATCGGCCCTTCGCTCTCCACCACCCAACGAATGAATGAATCTTCCGCCAGAACATAGAGATACACCGCCATATTATTTGTCCTTCGTGCATGTCGCCCCGCTTTCGGATTCATGTTGCCCGTTGATAAGGGCGGTTTCTTCGGTCCGATAGTGTCAGCACATGGTTTCTTCTCTCTCTCTCTCTCTCTCTCTGGGGTTCCCCGTAATACTGTAATCATAGTATAATCATACTATAATGTTATATAAACAATATATTATTAACTCATCACTCGGTGTATCACGTAGAAAAGAAAAAAAAAATTCATGTACACCACTGCGCACCATGCGCGAAAGTGCGCTCGTCACGCACACGCCCCAGCGCACCGGCGCACTGCGCACCGGAGTGCTGCACAGCGCACTGCGCATCAGTGCGTGCGCATCGCGCACGAGTGCGCGCACCGCATTGCGCACCGCACTGATGCGCCGCAAGTATGGTACCAATATTTCCTGGATAAAGCTCTGATAGTTGGGCAATGTAGCATATCAGAAAGTGAAATGCACTGAMAGCCTAGGATCTAGCAATGACGAAAGTGGCAACAACCAGCAGCATAGGTGCAGCATTCATGAGATGTCAATGTGCATGATGCAAAGAGCAACCCAACGAGAAATCAACAACGACACATTCGTATCATTATCATCATGGGCTGTGAAGCAGCACATTGGAATATCTAGTGACCAAAGGACACGTGAACAGACAGACACGGAGAAACTTCGGAAGGGCAAGACATCAGAAAGATTGCCCTTCCGCTCACACACATGGGGAGAGATCCATAGACATGCGAGATAGAGAAGGGGGAGACATAGGCAAGCAAGTCTAACCCAAGTCTGATCTCCAAATGTCGTACACAGTCCAATCCCAGTGTAAGTCCGATCTGAATGTCATGTCCAATAAGGCAGAAGGCCGTGTTCAAACAATGTCTGCAGTTACCTCTATCTCTACTCTGAGAAGAAGAAGAAGAAGAAGAAGAAGAAGAACTTCGGAGGAGTAGGAGGAGAAGAGGAGAGGAGAAGAAGAAGAGGAAGAAGAAGAAGAAGAAGAAGAAG